TATGATTTCATCTATTTTTTTCTCTATTTTTAAAATATCACTAGATTCTATATGATATATTAGATTTAAAATAAAAAATATTCTCATCATTGGGGTTAAAAAAATTGATAATTTGATGATCAAAATTTACATTTAAATTTAATCAATTTTAATAATAAAAATGATTTTTGTTTAAGTTTTTAAATTAAAAAATCTAATTGTAAGTTTAAAAACTAATTCTTTGAAGTTATTTAAATAGAAAATTTGATTAGTTTAAGAAGATAAAAAAGTTTTATTAAACTTCTATTACAATTCCTTTATCCTCAGAAATGTAATTTTTTAATGTTTCTAATTTCTTTTTAAAATCTTTACAATCTTCAGATCTAAAGATTGTCATTTCTATTTCCTTTTTATATTTAAAAATCATTTCGAAATAAAATTTCAAATTGTAATAAATTACTTTATATCTGTTATTGTAATAAGAGAATGATGTATTCATAATACCATTTAGATTAAATGTAAATTCTTTTGATAAAAGAATTAAATAATTTTGTAGATAATTAAATCTGTTATTTAAAAATTCATCAGTACTTCTAGTAAATTTAACAGTACTTTGAGTAAATTTTAAGCAATACATATTAAATACCGTTCTTTTAATTTCTTGAATAAAAAACAAATCATTAACAAAATCAGAATATTTTTTAAATTCACAATAAACCATTTTAAAGTAATTTTCTTTTTTTAATTTTTTATCTTTTGAACCACTCTTATCACTTTTTAAGTTTAAATTAACCGAACATAAATATCTTTGTTCTTTTAAAAAGATCATTAAATCGGTGTTATATAATGGTTTAACAGTTTCTTCTTCAATAATAAATATAATCTCTTCAAAGAAAATATTAGAAACATCGTGATTCTTGATGGTATTATTAATCGAATCTTCTAAAACTTTTATGGTTTTAGAAACAAGCATTTGATCTTTTTTTGGATTAAAATCTGCACCACATAACAATAATTTTAGAAAGAAAATTTCATAAGGGTATATAACTTTAAATATTTTTATAAAATTTAAAGTTAATTTTTAAAAATTAGAATAAAAGATTATTTAAATTAAAAAATTAACAATGGTTTGATTCACTTATAAAAAATAATTTTAATTTAGAATATTAAGTAAATGTTTGAATATTTTTTATTAATAAAATCTTAGAATTATTATTATTTAATCTTCTAACAAGTAAACTAATGATGATTAAAAAATTAAGTTTTTATTAAATAATTTTTATAAAAATGTAATTTTTTAATTAAAATGACAAATACAATCATTGTATAGTTTTAGAAGTATTTTTCAAAATTATATTACTATAAGAATCAATTTAATAAATTTATTATTTAAACCAATTTAAAATTTCCAACTGTTATTTTTAACAAAAATTTTAGATCAATTTTTTTTCCTAGAAAAGTAAACAAAAAATAAAATAAGAAAACTTAATTTATTAAAATCTTAATAATTCTTCAAAGTTCTTATCAACCCAAGATTATTTTTCCAAACTAGTTTCTTTAATAATAAATTAACCATTGATACTACAATACCTTTGTGATTTTTGGAACATACTTGCATTTATTTCATATATTTTAATGTTTTGAGTGTCATCTTTTTGCACAACCATACCATCACCTCCAAGACGAAGTGGGTTTTCAGTGACATGTTTTAAATATTGACTTCGTAAAAGATTAATTATTTTCATAATTACCTTTTTTCCCACGTTCACATCTAATCCTATCTGTACTTGAGTTTGGTTTTTAAGCCATTTATAATATATTTTAGTATACTACTTAGAGGAATATTGAAACTTTTTAAATTCGATTCATTGCAAATAGAAATGTATTTATTGTAGTTAATACACCTAAATACTACTCCACCTCTATTTCTAGAGTATATTCTAGTTTTCATATCTTTTTGTCAAGGTATGAACTTCACGTATCTCTTCAATACATCCTTGGTGCGATGAAACACTATCAAATTTTCAATTGGCTCACGCAAAAGCGGTTAAAAAACACTGGTATACCAATAATTCGTGGGTTTAAAAATGTATTAAAAATATTTTATTAAATTCTTCTAATATTTTTTATATTTTAAAGGTTCCTTTTTTCCACGTAGGCAAAAATGGACTTGATCCCAAATTTTTAAATAATCATTTAGTTCTTCATTATAAATTTCTAAATTAAATTTTTCTATTTCATATTTTGAATCACCATTGTTTAAATCATTATTTCTTTTTAAATTTAGAACACCGATAGAAATGAGTTTGTGTTTTCCTATGTAAAATTTAAATTCGACCATGCTAAATGGTTCTATTATATTTTTCTCAATTATTGTAATATATCTTCAAATCTCATATTATATAAATTATATTTTACTGTATTTACATGTATAATACCATTTATATTTCAATACGATCATTAATTCTTTAATTTTAACTTCTGTTGTCAGTACATTCTAAAAGATTAAAAATTAAATTAAATTATTTATTGGGTAAATTTATCAAAAATTTATTTAAAAATGAAACTTAATTGATTTTATGGATTTATCATAATATTAAAGACTGTGATTAAATTAGTATTTTTTTTAGAATTTTAAATCTTTGTTTATAAAATCGCTGAAGAACGTTTGAAGATAATTTATTTACTAAATAATGATTTTATTCCATCTAGCTTCGTATTTATTATCTCGATAGCTGTTTAATTAAAGTATTATTTCTATTCACTTTTCATGAGATAAAAGTTCTTATAAACTTTTGCTTTATATTCGACTAAGTCTTTTTAAAAAAGGCAATCAAATATGATACAAAAACAAAATAAACTACCTATTTTCACAATTTACAGTATGGATGTAGTAGAAAATATTGGTTGATTTTTCTAATCAAAAATAGAATTTAAATTTTATTTAGTGAATTTTCAAATCATTATTTATTCTGATAAATCACATTTTAAAAACATGTAAAGAATTATTTAACTAATATTTGATTTTATAAACTCTATAATTTAATTTTCATTAAATAACCTTTAAATATTTTATGAAAATTATAATAAATTAAAACAGTTGGTTAAATTTTATAAAAATTTATTTGATTTAAATTTCTTTATTTCAGTTAACAATAAAATTTTTGTAAAAAAGATTTTATTCAACAAAAGAGCTGTCTATAATGGAAAAGGAACCCTTTAAAGGTGTATTTTTCAATATACTATCACTTTTACTTTATTTTATTTAGTGTTCTTTTTCATCCTAATAAAATTTTATGTTAATGGTAAGCTATTTATAAAATTTTTATAAAAAAATTATTTCATAAAATAAATAAACTACAAATTATCATTCTTTTTTAAAATTTTTTCATGAAAAATCTGCTTTACAACAAATTTGTTTTATTTTTGTTAAACAAAAAAACAAATCATGATTTAATTATATTTTATATAAAAGTTATAACAGTTTAAGAATAAAACAAAATATTTTTATCTTATTTTTATTTTATTAATTAATATGAAAATTTTTACAATATGAATATTTTATACTTTTAATTGGTTTGATTATTAATACTCAAATCACTCTTAAAATATTTATTATCTCTACAGTTAAAATATATAATCTAACTGTATTTATTTACTTTAATTTTTATTTTATCACATTTTCTGGAAAAAATGACATCATTTGTTTCAGATTGTAATAATTATCTTAAAATAATTTATGTAAATATCAAAGGAAATTACTATTAATAAATAAATACGATTTTTTTTATCACTCAACAGATGAATTTTTGTAATTCTATCAAAAAGTATTCAAATAAATGAATAAAGGTTTTTAATATCTGTTTTTAAAATCAAATACCGATTTATTGTTCTTTTATAATAACTTTCTTATAAATTATTAAAGCTTTGCTGTTTATTTTTTGATAAAGAATTTTTTGTTGTTTTTAACCCCTTTTTATCAGAGATGAGAGATAAAGTTTCATTAAAACCATAAAAAAACATTCATTATAAATATATAATAAAACATGTTTTTTATGAATTTTTATAATAAAATTTTTTACCCTTAACATATGAATATTTGCAG